GTTATTCTGGACGTTCTCAACACCATCCTCCTCGACATTGTTGTTGTGAACACCATGCTCCACATTTTCAACATTCTGAACATGCTCAACATTATCAGCATTCTCATTCTCATCATTCTGAACATGCTCCACATTTTCAACATTCTGAACATGCTCAACATTATCATCATTCTCATTCTCATCATTCTGAACATGCTCCACATTCTCATCATTCTCAGCATTCTCAAAGTTCTCATTCTCCTCAACATGCTCCACATTTTCAACATYMWCATTCTCATCATTCTGAACATGCTCCACATTCTCAGCATTCTGAAAGTCGTTCTGAAAATTGTTGTTGTTCTGAAGAGCTCGCCTTTGATCATGCTTGATGCTGTAAAAGACGTGGACAACCAAATACTCTGAAAAGATTCGTCGTCCACTGCTCTCTCGTACTCGAATTGGCGCCAGCCGGTTTTGAGATTGTTACTGATGACGTAGTCGAGAGTGAGTTTGTACCCAAAACAACGCGTGCCTCTGGTTTAGAAGAGGTTGGAGTGAGCTGAGGTCTTGTCACGAAATACCAGTAGTTGTTGGGTGGAAACGAAGCATGTCCCTCATGTACCTTGTTGATAGGATCCGTTGCATAGAAATCGTTGTCAAGAATGAGGGAACCATGGGGTAATTGGTTCTCGCATTTCAGTATGAGAAAGTCTTCGAATATCGCTTGAGCATTTGGACCGAAGTGAATACCTGCGTTATTCATAGCTGGAAAACCAGATCGAAATTACAGACAAAATCAGATCTGATTGAGACAAAGCATAGTTGGCTAGAGATCCTAAAACCCTAATTTTTCATTTTTCATTCTTCTTCTCTGAAATCAGAGCAACAGAAAAGAGGCTATCTACGAAAATTCAAGCACAGAAGACAAAATTCGATCAACGAGGACAAATCCGGCGAAAAAAAGACTTCTGATCTAACATACGCCATAAATCCCTCCACAATGTAGATGCGAGTCTCTAAAGAAACCCTAATTCGTTCGCTAGAGACCCTAAAACCCTCAATTTACAGATCAAGATCCCAACCCCAAAAACAAAAACCTAAAGCAAGGAACGAAGCGTACCTGCAGGAGTGAGGGATGAGCAGAAACTATGGATTCACCAACTTTGGAGGTCTCCAAAAGCTCCGTGCGAAAGGAAAATCTGGGAATTAAGGAATTGAAGTGACTGAATCGCTTCTTCGGGATATGCAATCTTCACGGTGTTTGGTAGGTTTCGGAAAACTGAGACGGTGGCAAAACGCTTCGTGGAACTGTGGAATGGGGAAGGAGAAGAGAATTAGGGTTTGGAGAATCACGCAAGAGACGTTTTCTTCTTCTCGCAGTGGCGATTCTGGGAGACAAATTCTGTTGAGAAGGAGAGAAAACGCTAAAATGGGTTGCATGA